GTCTCTACGTGACATACTTAGTGGAAACCTCATAGAAAGCGGCTCTGAAGAAGGCGAAATCCGCCGAAACGTCAGCTTAATCGTGAACAAAGAATAGTAACACCTCGCGTTTGCTCAACAAAAATACGAAGAAAATCACTTGATCAATGCCGAGGTTAATAGAAAGCCGGTCGTGGCACATACATATACAGTTTACTCCTAGAAATAAAATCTGCACTGCAGTGCAAGGCACAGGTTCGGGGCATCAAATGAATATAGGAAGAAGGAAACGGTAAAGAGTTAACACTTCGAAGTTAAAGCTTTGTTATTTTTCATTTTGACTTTAACACCAATAGGACCTCGAAATTCAATCATACTTACTTACTTGGATAATTTGATGGCTCGTCTTCACTGGTTGCGCGAGCATTACTCTTGGTTGGGCTTCCCGATGAAAACGCCGGACTCCTCGGCTTGTGAGACCCTGTCGAGGGGATGAATACCCGATGTACATCGCAGTCTGACACCCATGAACACCTCCGAGCCACGATGAGACGGTAAACCGTTAGGAGGAGTTCACTTACAATGTTGAAGAAAACTCAAAGAGCTCGACAAACTGACATTGCATAACCTCATTAGGGTTCAAATGTTAGTGCGAAAATCATGCTATAAGGCTGTATTTTTTCGTTATCACAGAGTGTTTCTTTTGTTGGTTTCCAGCATTTGGAATTAGCTTGTTCGCTACATTATTCATCATATGTGGTGTGAGAAAGTGACCATCATCATGTCACACATGATTTCTAACATGGTGCGGCGAACGATTCAGCGTCGCCCAATAGCATTTCATTACTACACGATTTTGAAAGCAGAAAAATATAATACCTAAACTGATGAGATTGTCTTCCACATCATAGACGGATTCACCAATATCTGATGCAAACGACATTAGTAGCGCCTTCATCTTTTGGAACAGTATGAAAACGATAAATAAAACAATAATAATCAAATTATGCACCAACACCTTAACTTAATGAATACGTTTGTTCTGTTGTGAAATAAAATAGTATAACTGCGAACCTTTTCCTCGTATGGAATATCTCAAGCAAACCTCTACGCCCGTGATGTAGCAGGGTGAGCACGAGATCACGCGAAGGAACACACGAAGCCCTCCCTTAATATGGCGGAGCATAAACCCGATCTTGGACTACTCTTTATGAAATCTCCGCAAGTTACTCCACCTGGATAAAACTGGGCTATTGCTTGTACAGCACTCTGCTTAAATACTCCAATTATAGCGCCCCCAACGGGAATCTAAATGGAGCTCGTTAGAATAGAACAAATATATTTCACTTGAAAAATTAGCCAGCCTGGAAATTTTTGTCGAGTGATTGCACGAACGCATCTATGCGACCAACGGCGCAGCCCTGAACGAATCAGTAAAACGAAGTGGAAAGCTTCCAACGGCAGCTTATAAAAGGAGAGATTTAGAAAAAATTGGGAAGGCAAGGCCTCTTCTACACTTTTTTCAAGTTCCCAATTAGTCCAATTACTTAATACCACCGGTAGTTATAGCAAGAGCAGCACAGTGGTCAGTGCATGAACGAACCAATTTCTTCAGGTCAACGAAAACATTTTTAGAATGATATAATTTTTAGAACGATACAGATTGTCAAGTTGTTTCATAGTCAATAACGTCCTCATTCTCTAAGACTTTTATGGCTGTAGGTAAAGTGGTGGATAACATTCTTTAACTCCATCTGCTCTGGCTACCTTATTTCGTGGCTGGTCTAGCGGACTAGGCCCGGTACTTCGTCGGTTGTGGACTTTCTGGCTTTTTAACAACAAAAAACCTTTCGTCGATAAGTAGAGGACTTGAAGGGTTTTGAACACGCAGGACCATAGAAGAGAATTTGCTCGTTATATGGGTGTGAATAATGCTTATGCTACTACTTGCTATGCGCTGTTATAGTTCACCAACCAAATAGAAGGACGCCTGCGGCGCAGTGGTCGAAGGCGCTCTGCAACACACGAGGAATCGATCCCCACCCCCATAGCCCACCAAGCTCTCCATCGTTCCGTGGCTGGCAAATTGGTACTAAACTTGTCTGGGGGATAGCATCGGTAGGCTACCGCGAGTCATTGTAAAGGCCAGATATGCATTCAATCACCTCCAACGATACTTAATGAAGTCGAATGCATGGCGCATCCCTCAGGGATTGGTGTCAGTATTTGGAAGTATTTTCGAAATTATGTCGAATATATTTCGGCATTTTTATGCGTACATATTCCATAAAATAACCATGATTCATCATAGGGATTAAAACTGGATAATAATTAAATCTTAGTCAATTTACTGGTTAACGAACTTTTTCGAAAAGAGGTTTTTTACAAATCATTATGCGTAGAGAATGACTTTTTTGGTCTCATCCTTCCAGTTTCGATCCGCTTTCGATTAGCTATCGAATGACTATACACACATTGACAAAAGAAAAAACTCGGGAACCCATTAAACTCAATATGGACACTATATTGTTCATACGATCGTTTTGTCTGAATCGTCATGGACGCTACGGTATCCGTCACTTTGTTGATCTTTAAGATATTATCCGTCATATTGTTGATGGCCAATTGAAGCGATGGAACACCAGTAAAGTCTTCATTCGTTTCATCGCCTCCGTCGGGTGCCGTGGTTGCCCTATAGGTTATGTTCGCTCAAGATGATGAACAATACCGCATTTTTCTTCTAGAATCTTGGAGAATAATTCTGATCCTGTTCACAAGTTTTCCTGTTGGACGTTCAACAAACAGACTAAAAGGACAAGAAATCCCAATTCGTGATTGGTTAAAGATTCTTTTCTATGATCTTTTTACGCTTCCCTTTTTTTTTTACAGGAAAAACAATACTGTGCATGAAATGTAATTGCTCGATTCCTGTGAAGAACTTTGGGACAACAGGTACATAAGTTAGGCAAAAATTTCTGTTGACAATGATGTGGCTGACCTCGTTAATGTAAACTGCACGAGAACAACAGCCCTGGAATTGAAATTTGCCATGGGTGCATTTCGCCATTAAGATGAACAAAAACTTCTCACTTTTCTTGTTCTGTTCTTTCTATTTCGTCTCGTGAATTTCAACATTTGCTAAAAAGCTTTCCTAAAGACAATTTTGGAGCTGAATTCATTCCCGATGACTACAAAAGTATAAAGGATGAAGCCCTCGGCAGTAATCAATCCCTCAGGATGTACCAAGTCAGTGCTGCTTTCCTCCAAGACAGATATGGTACCAATTTTCCGACTCCGGAGGGATGGAATGCTTGGTGAACCTGGGGTGCGGGATCGAACCCATGTGTACTGCACGGCACCTATAACCACTAAACTACACGCGCTCTGCTCATATACACGAATGACTGTATGCAAACATAATATTCCCCTATAAACTTCTCGGAACGACGTATATAATGTGCCTAATCTCTTCTTATTCGAAGCTCGTAGTCGCGCCACTTCATTCACCTATCCACGGTTCCATACTACTACTCCATACCATGAAGTAATTCCAAATGATGAGATTTCTCTTCACATCAGCAAAAGTTGTATAGTAGGTCACTCACTTTATGCATAGAAGGCTCTACATTACTCTAAGTGTAGTTCCTTACTCATGTTGGACATTTGGTGCACTGGGCATTTCAACAAGCTCAACAACGGTCGGGGATGTCATACAACGCTCAACGTTGCTCAGTGCAGCGCAACGTTCAAGTACGAAGTGCAACGGTGTGTCCAGTCACGCAGGTCTAAGCCGAACCAGTTACATACTTCAACGCTCAGATACGTACACCAACGCTACACTAGACTTTATGATGTAGCGTACATGCTTCACGTCGCAGGTCAATCAACTTCAAAGCGGGAAGGTCACAACGAAGTGAGTCAACGATGACATCCACGCTCTCCAATTTCCATGACCATCATATCGAAGCTATTAATTGGTTATTTATCATCTTTCTTCACATATACTGAAAATGTCCAATTAGGTCAACAATCAGAAGGATCAACTTACCAAGGACAAGTCATTGTCCTAATATATGAGTTAGTACGATGTCTGAGTATGGTGAGTTACAATCGCAATAGAACCAGAAGACAGTTTCGGAACAGAGCTAGTGAACTATGCCGAAACAGTGAACCATGTTGGTCTCAACACTCCTTCAGTAGGAGATATCCGCAAAAAATTGAGACGTACATCATGAAAAGATGATCTGCTCCGTCGTCGACTACGTGAGAAACCATTTCATCGAATTCTCGAAAGTAGGGAAATGGTCAGATTTTGTGGAAATCAACACCAAGAACAGCAGAAACTTCGGTGCATCAATAGTGAACTTAACACCCATTACAATTCTATAATTCAATGCAGAAATATAAGATTGAAAGATTTTCGAATACATAAAAGAAAACAAGGAAGATGACGGGAGCACAACGTTACAAATATCGCAAGCGACCGTGACTGAACTTGGTGAAGCCTTGGACCTAAGAGGCAATTTCCATACGTCATAACATCGGAAGAATTTTCACTCATCGCTTGACGACTCTCATCGAACACCAGTCATTTTAGGTGAAGTATGAAACGTTTCAAATCTGCAACAGGATGCACTCCCATGATACGGTGAAGCCACCAAGCTAAAAGATATTTCCGATACAGCAGCACATTAAGGGAGTTTCACTCACTGGAAAACAACCCTCATACAGAACCATTCAACGGGCTTCGAGTTGACCAAAAAGAGATTTTCACATGTCAGCATATCGAACGAATTCTCATTCACCTCACGGCAACCCTCACTTGGAACCAATGATTCTATCGCCAATAGGCGACGTACGAAAAGAAAGCAGTTCTTGGCAGGTCGAAAGAAAAGAAGCACACTACCACGAGAACTAGCCAACACACAACAAGTATCTAATCAATACGGGGAAATAGCAAAGATAGTATAGAAAAACGAACGTGGTCCCAAGTAACCTATAATTTTCTTTGCTGCAGTAACTCTGGTGCTGGTATAATATGATAGCTGAAGAACTGAAAAAAAAACGTTATAAATGGTACACGAACTTACCGCACTGAGAAGGCGAACGCATTCTTCGCTTTGGAGACCATAAGCATTATTAACAAGATGAGGGACATGGCACAACTACGAAAAAGAAATATTAGTAAATCATTAGTACTGACGAGAATTAAAGCACCTACCTGGCATATACTGGAAATCGCCTCTATTGAGTCTGGACTTCGCGGAGCAAAGCAGGAAGTTGTAGAGAGAACACAAAGTATCTTAAGTAGAAATGTGAACATAGCAAAGCGGATGGAAAGCTAACAAAGAAGATATATTGAAAATGTATAAGACGATCTCTAACTACCTCGTCAGCACGGTCCTGCAGTATCCCATTTACAGTTTCTATGTCCGTCACCAATGCGTCACCGGCGCGTATAGGCTCAACAATCAATGGTTCAAAACCTAAATATGTAATGCTTTACTGTGTACCTCACCAACCCAGTGCTCCTCTCTGTGACGCCAGGCGGTGAAATTAAAAAATTAACTACCGCCTAACTTATGTGTCGAGGTGCTCACTCAGCTCATCACGAACATTATTCTTTCGCGCATATCAAAAACACTTGATAAAGCAGAAGTAGTTGACTAAGTAGGATTCAGAGGTGCATTCTGCTCCACATCACGCCTAAACCATAGATCGGGTCGTAGAAGTTTGCTGGGAATACCATCTTCTCCTTGTCTTGACTTCTGTCGACTATGGAAAAGAGTTTGACAGCGCCGAAACGAATGGAATTCTATCAGTGCTCATCAGCCAAGGAGTGGAGCCGTCCTATACAAGAACTCTAGTTGACTGTTATTATAACTTTAGCACAAAAACACAGTCCATGTTTAGTGAATGAATTGCCTAACTAGTCGAAAGTCCTCGATATACAAGGTGAGAAAGTCTTTATACGGAAGCTGTAGAACACACTCAAAAACCAAATTAGATAGGATTCCTTAAGTCACCTTTAAGTAGCATGGAAGTTCTTGCGCGAATTCTCCACTGGTCAGCATTCTTTCTTTCTTGGAATGATACGGATTGTAAGAATTGCACGTAGTTTACGGTCAACAACTCAAATGGAGTTAGTGGAAGTGTTGTATGGCTATAGAGTTGTACAAGTTTTTATGCTCTTGGTCGCAAATCAAAGATTCGTGGGTTTGGAATAGAGGCTCTGCAATGCAAAGCTTCAGCTTTTTCATTAAAAGATCAAACCATTAAATAGTAAAACCATAAAATTAGCAATATGGCTACAAATTTCTTCGAATCTAGTTTCAGTTTTTTGTGAGCAATTCGTTCGTAGTGGGAAGACATAATAAGAAATTTCTGAGAGGAAATGAGGTGATTTTGGCAAAGCCTTAGAGTTCTTCAAATAGGAAATCTTCCAGTAAGTAGTTTCCGAGTGGATCTCCTTTGGCTATAATGTAAGGGAAAGATTCATCCAGAAATGTTTTCGTCAGCCATCACTTGTCTTTTTTTTGGTACTGGGCAATGACAAGTTCCTTTTCAGCCTGTACTTCGACAAAATCTATCCGAGAAAGCGAAGAACGGACCCAGTACAGAATGACAGCAGTACGGTGGTTTCCAGGAAACTCCCGGTTACGAAGATAACGACGATGTACACATGACTTGTGCCAGTACGCGATAATTACTCTTCTCAAAAAATGAACTTCTACAGGAGAGGATGTGCACAGAAATCCAGCAAGATGCTTACCCGTTCTGGTCTAGGGCTTCAAGTTTTCCAAATCTGTTTCTGGATTTCCGCTGCTTTATTGTACTCCTGCGTTTAAGTAATTAATAATAAATTTTCGAAAATTTTGTTGTAAATCACTTGCTCTGACCATAGAACGTGGCCAATTTTCTATTTTCCATAGGACAAACTGATAAGTAGGAACTGATGATACACATTTTTTCTTGACGCGGAAGTTGTTGAAGGAAAATGGACTGACGATGTGACATACCTCGTACAAGTAGGACTAGATGGGACACAGGCCGTTGTTCAATAAACCCTAAGCTACCGATATACTGCGATAAGACATAACCTTTTCCTTCCTATTTTTTCCAACATTTTCCACAGATAACAATGACTTGGTCACCTAGTTCACGTATGTCGACTTTTTGATTGGTGTTTCTTGTAGCGCAATCACATGGAATTTGATGCAACTTGTGGGGCCAAAAATGTCGTGAAGATCGGCGTTTGAGGAGATTGCTTTAGTATTCGCTTTTTAAAATCATATGCAAACTGCGGGCGCGTGTAGCCCAGTGGTCGGAGGTGCCCTAAAATACATAGGGGATCGATCGTTGCGCCCCAGTCTCACCGAGCCCTCCGTTCTTTCGGGGCCGGTAAATTGGTACCAGACATGTCTGGGAGAATAGCACCACTGGCTAGATGCATCGGTAGGGTACAGCTGGTCATTGTAAAGACCAGATATGCATTCAATCACCTCCAGCGATTCTTAATGAACTCGAATGTATGGCGCATCCTTCAGGGATTGATCAACGCCGAGAGCTTCATCGCTTATTTTTAATGCAAACTGTGGTTGGATAGCCTCTCCCCGGCTTTCTAACCGACTGATGTCGTAGATGAAATCGCCCGATGTGCGCGGAACTAAGGCCGATTCATACGCAAAAATTTTCCAAAAACGATATTTCAGAAGTTTATCGACTATAGTATGTCGGAGATTTTACTTTACTTCAATCAAGAACATAGAAAAGACAAACCTGCGTGAAAAATTGACTTCAAACATGACTTTTGATCCACCCTGAGCCACAACACATACTTTGCGTGGGGTCTCAACTTTCGCCACGAACCCATACACAACGATAACGTCAAACCAGTGCACATGGGAACTACAACGGCTGCTCTACAAGCGGTCACACCTACAATGCAGAGGTTATGTTAAGTACGGACATTTCCACTACACTATTAAAATTTGTATCCAGAGTTTGTCAATTTGGGCTTCCCAGATCAATACCGTTCATGGATGATTGCTGACGGCACCGGTAGATAGAAAACTAGCCGAGAGAAAGAGGAAACGGAGGATATGCATGGTGTGGTGAAGAACGCGTTAGCCCCCCGGAAAGGGTAATAACGGGGTCGTTCCTCACCGCAAACACATAAACATCTACGCGTAGGTCCGCAAAAACCATTGAGCCTCACCGCACTCTTTATTTCACTAGCCTTTTCGGGACGAAACTGATTTTTCGATAAATGGCGATAATTCCTCGATCATTAGAGCAAATGAGGAGTTCAGAACTTTATAAACCTACAGAAAAGATTTAATCTATCCCAGTAATCACGTGTGCAAAATTTATACAGTGTCTCTTCAAATTTAGATATCTTTGGAGTTGAAATTTTAAAAAAACTAGTGATAGAAATTGAGTTTTTAAAACTTTTAACGAAAAACCGGCAGCTGTGAACGTAAACGATACAGTGGTCTAATAGCATTACGTGCTACATTATACCATGCGTGACAAAACTCCGCTCGTTCATTTGCCTTCGTTTCCGAAATGGGTCAATACGGGGTCTAAGCAAAACTGGTCTAAGGGGTCTAAGGGTCCCGGGGTCTAGGGTCTAGGAGCTAAATGGTCTAAGTAATACTTAGTTGGATACTTGGATGGCCACTCTTCACTAGTTGTATGGGCCGCAGAATAATTTCCTCCTTTTTTTGGAGTTTTGCTGGCTTAACCATTGTGGTTCACTGGAGTCCCGAGGTCAGTTTGGCGGAAATTTGCCACAGGTCGCCACCAACACAGGCAGTCGCAGCTCTTCTGGATCAGAGGGAGATTTACCACCATGCGACTAGTTTGTTACCAGGGCAGTGGTGGATCCTGGTATTGGTTTACCCTTATCTGGGTTTACCGATAGAAACCCTGAATTACTTCTCAGCTTGGGAGACCCTGTTAGGTGGATGAATCCTCCCGCTGTACATCGCAGCCCGACACCCGGTTAAAAACACCCCCCAACCACGATGAGGTGGAAAACCATTGGGGTGCTTGAATTCTTCTTTTTTTCTCCTTTTTTATTCTTCAAATGATAAGATGAAATAAGTATAAAATAAAAAAAAGAACATTGTCATGTAGCCCAGAAAAAAGAGAATTTCAGCGTAGTAAAAGAGGACGACTTCTATTCTATAGGCAAAGATTCTAATAACTCTTGCTGGAATGGATGAGCCACACTACGAGCAGAGACATGTTAACTTAAAATTCTTATAAAGGGCCATCATTTTGCATCTTATGGCTGATATCCTCCAGAGGTGATGGCGTCGCGCAAATATTAAAAAATAAAAGCAGAACTCCCTTCAACACTCAATTTCGCAGCATCCTATATCTTAACAAGTGAAAAAAAAGACAAAGTCAATTTGATGATTACAATTTCCTATCCAGAAATGCTTCCATACGTAGAAGTGAGCCAGTGGTTTGTGTCGGTACTTCAATAACACAAAAGGCTCTACTTCCCTTACCTATCTCTTGAAGCGCATGCAACGCAAATTCGTTTGCCAAGCAAGCAAGCATAGAAGATCCGATAGCTTTTGGTTGGATGTCCAAAATGTTGCCACTCCGACCGATCCCATGGGATAAGCTGCAAGCGAAAATATATTGAAACACGGAAATGTACAATCCTTCAATAAAAACAGGGTTTAAATAGTTCCTTTAAAAATTTAAAAGAATTGTATGCCTAAATTAGTAGACAACGAAGAACCTCACTTGCAGTGAAGCTTTCTTACAAATGAGCAGGAGACTCGTCCTTCTCTTTCACCAGCGCCAACTGTGATCTAAAACATATCCTTGATCAATCCACTGCTAGTGGATTAGAAACCGTCTAGTGTTGACCAATTTTTGAGTGAATACATATTCGGCCTAACCGTGTCTACCGAATAATCAGACCTGTGACCCTTAAGGAACGGATTTGGTTTGCCCGCAACCTAGGATGGTACTAAACACCACTGGTATATCGCAGGGGAACCTTTAACTGTCACCCATCACAAGCTCCATTATACAAATACAACTCATAGTAATGAACTGCGTAGTCAAACCCTAACTTCTCAGTCTACAAATGAAAAGCCTAGTCAAAAAAGGAGCAGATGACAACTTACGACGTCCATTCGATTATTGGTGTCATGGCTAGCGAGCCAAGTGAGGAGTAAATCCAGCGCATGGTCGGGCCATCCATAATCAGGTATGCGTTTCTAAATCAGCCATCTGTATCAAAAACATTGGTAACTAATCACAGTGAAAGTAAGAGACATATAGTACAAATAGTAAAAAAAAGGATAAAGCTCTCGGCCTTGATCAATCCCTAAGGGATGCTCCATGCATTCGACTTCACTAAGCAACGTTGGAGATAACGGAATGCATATCTGGCCTTTACAATGACTCGCGGTGGCCTACTGATGTATCGGGCCAGTGGTGGCATCCTCCCAGACGAGTCTGGTACCAATTTGCCGAACCCGGAGGGATGGAAAACATGGTAAGCCTGGAACCCGGGATCGATCCCATGTGTAATGCAGGGCGCCTCCGACCACTGAGCTATATGCGTACAGATGGTACGATATAAAAACTTTAAAACGCGAAGAAGCACAGAGCTTGATTCCAGCACGACAACATGTATGTGAGGGAAGTTATGTGCACCACAGTAAATCCACCCTACAATTCTATCCGAATCTTCTGTTCGACTAATCTCAATTCAGATCTCAACGTCCTCCAGTCTTAGCGAAGTGCACCTCAAACTTACCCGCTGAAAATGGTAAAATCAATAAATGACACCATCAAGGATATCCCAGAACATCGCTTACTCCTGGTTCTGGAAGATCTTGAAGGAACAACTTTCAGAAAATAATAAATAACGCCTTATCAAACTCATGAATCAACCCACCTTCTGCCAGAGAGAATTCAACAACTTCGAATTGGATTTGGAGACCAAAGAAGAATACTCAGCCTCCTTTTTACTAAAAGAAGATCGCATATTAGCACCGTCACACGAATAGCGAGTCCTGGTCTTAGAGCGTGATTGGGCTCTCGACACTTAACACATCCAGTTCGTATGGATGATTGATGCAACGCACGAAGGAGACGGAGAAGACACACCGACGTGGTTTTTGCCCAATGAGGGAAAAAACTAGTGTCTCACTCAAGGCACTTCCGCTCCATCGAGGGCTTGTATACGCACCGGAAGTAGCCACGCTGTCAACAATCTAATTGCAACAACCACGAACTACCGACTATTTCTAGAGAAAGAAATGGCCGTCGTGCGTCATAAATACGCTATTTTGACTCTGAGGAAAGATATATAGAATCCATCAGTTTATTAGGAGGACTGTTGGCTTAGCAAATGACATCAAATTCAAGAGAAAACACGTTTAACAACTGAAAACTAAAAGTATTGTACAACAGATATACTGAGGTTTAAATTGAGGCCATCGCTGAGTGTTAGAGTTTTGCTTATCGTTCAAGTGGAACCAATCCCAATTTCGATCTGAGAGCATTTGCCTCATCAATCTCACGCTCCTCGCCGTCTTTAGCACTTCTCTTACTCCTGTGGTGATCTCCTCTATCATCCCGATCCCGATCATCACGTCGTGTACGTTCGCGATCTGAAAGCAAGCGAAAATTGCAGCTTACAAAGCACCAGGAAATTTTTTTAAAAAAACAACACGAAAACAATGAAAAATTTTTTATTTGTTGGCTACTACAATTTTTCACGGCAGAGTACTATGTGGGATACAGCCACAATGATGCTGAGATAATTGGCAAACTCCGGACCGCAGGTGTCTGCGGTGGGGATCGAATACGCTACTACCCCTTCCAGAAGCTAACATTCTCACTACCACACCACGCTTACCCTTCGTTTTTTCCTCTCAGCTAGTTTTATATAAAATAGTGCCATCAATAATCAACCATTAACGGACAACGTCGAGGGGAAAGTAATGTGAAAACAGCTCTGTCTCCTTTCTTTTAAAGGTAAAAATTTCTTATTAAATGTTTCACGCCTTTTTCGTTCCTACTGTATACATCCTAAACCACAGATTTTACCTCACACTCCTAGGTTAGCCTCTTCGCTTTCGTAACAGACAGAATATTACCCTCGATGCTCGTTACCCACGAAACGACGACAATTCCTCGATCGAAAGAGCATTTGAAGAGCTGAGAAGAAGACCTATTTACAGAAACGACTTTGTTCTATCGTCTCAAGCGTTTGCATAATCTTCACGAAAGATACTTTCGAATTTAACTTTTGCTACTATTAAACTCTCGAAAACTAAAGTCATAGTTTGGTTTTTTAAAATTTCCAGTGCGGCAGCAGCCAAAACCAACGATATGTTACGAAACATTATCATACCATCTTGGGCGAAATCCCACTTCACGATTGTTTTCGTGTTCAAAATATCACCTTGACAATGAAAAAAGACGTGACAAAGGACGTTCCGTAGAATCAAGAAAGTCATCATTAAATTTTCGTAGGATAAGAAAAGAAAGTACCCTACTAGACAAGGTCTGCATATTCTGATGGCTTCCATTTTAGTTAAGAAAGTTCACTATGCGCTGAAATATATAGGTTCAAACTTGAAGACGGCCATTATTTCCACATTTAATGCGTTGAAATCAATGTACATCGGCAGATATTTAAGAATGTTCGATTCACGTATTGTAATAAGAGTTAGAAGCAAGATAATTCACTGAAATGCCTTGAAAAGCCAGGTTAACAAGATCAAAATTACATTTAACCTTACAGCATCAACGTGCGTAAGTGCGCTGGTTTTCAAAATGCCGCGACTAAAAAAAGTTATCCGAGGACACAAGAAATCACTCTAGCAGGTAAGCCATGTCAGGAAAACGAACGAGTGCATCAAGAAACAAAACATCCATGGCTAGCACTGTGCTACCAGTTACGTCGACTGCAACGTGGTATCAGTAATTTCAATGAATTAAGTTACCATACCCCACCCACTTATTCAATATTAACATAGAGCCTGTTGCAAAACTGCTACCTCCTCACGCATACCGATGAATCTTCGATATTGGTGTGGGAAATTTTTACAACCAGCAAATCGCTACTAAAGGACCTACAGATGATTAGCGAACTCCAGAAGCGCAAAACCTTACCGTTATGGAGTAGACAGATTGGTGATTTACTGGCGAAACTTTATCGAGACTAGTACTTTCCAGTTTGATTAATGAAACCATTTCCGACGAATTTTCGGGAAGGATAATAGCGTATTCCATCCCCACCGCAGACACCTGCGGTCCGGAGTTTTACAAATATCTCATCATTATAATGAAGACTGTTATGTACAGTTACCTAAACGTAAAGGCAGAAATCAAAGTCGTTATCCTGACTACTACAGGTGTAAATGAAGTTTAAAAAAAGCACCAAACAGTTTTCTTAGAAATGTCTAGACATGAGATTTAGTACAAAAGAGCTCAGCTGCGATGTGATCACTTATACTCTTACCTCTTCTGTCACGATCCCTGTCTCGATCACGATCTCTGGATCTGTCCCGACGGCGGTCTCGATCCTTGTCGTAGCGATCTCTGACGTTGTGCCTGTCTCTCTCCCTATCACGATCCTTCTCCCGCTCCCTTTCCCTGGATCGTTCTCGTTTCTTCTCTTCTCTATCCCTCTCTTTCCCCTTGTCTCTACCCCTATCGCGTTCCCTCGAACGATCCCTGCTGTGACTTCGCCGTCTTGATATCAGTCGAGGCTTCTCCTAGAAAATGAGCAATCAGTTATTTTTCACTTGCACTTTGATAACACACTTTATGGAATTTTTTACGAACCTTACGTCTTTCCTTCTTTTCTCTCTCGTCCTCACTATCAGATGCACTCAGTGCATCCAAGTCTTCATCTAGTATGCTTCGGTACGGTTCCAGTTCACCAGCCTCTTCAAGAGCTTGACGCTTCTGCAAAAGTTGCAGAAGTGTTTTACAAATTTAAAAATGACAAACTTCTAACATGGCTCAGAGAATTTAGGGCACAAAAATAGTTCTTATAATAAATACCTGTAAACGTGGAAGTTGGATATCGCAATATCGTTCCTCCCGCAAAAGATTATCAATAAACTCATCCATATATACCAACTCAAACCCTCAAATATAAGTTCAGTTTAACGTATACTAGTAATAATTCACTGTTTTCTTGACGAGCAAAACAGAAATAAAAGAATAAAGTTCTCGGCGTTGATCAATCCCTCGGGATGCGCCAAGCATTCGACTTCATTAAGAATCGTTGGAAGTGAACGAATGCACATCTTGCCTTTACAATGACTCGCGGTGGCCTGTCGATGTATCCAACCAGTGCTGCTATCCTCCCAGACAAGTCTGGTACCAATTTTCCCACCCCGAAGGGATGGAGAGCTTGGGAACCTGGGGCGCGGTGATCGATCCCATGTGTACTACACGGCGCCTCCGAACACTGTGCTACACATAATGAGCAAAATAAGAATAACAATAGTAGAAGAAATATAACAGGAATTATTTTGAGATGAAACCTGATTTACTCACTTCCTTGTTTGTTCATATACCGTAGCTTACGATAGTCATTAAATAACGGTTCAAGATATTTATATATCTCCACAGATGTGAAGGTTAGTCGAAGGTACATGGCTCCTAACGCTCTGGCATATCTGAAAACACTAAATACCTCACACACCGCATAAAACACTACTTAAATTGAATGAATTCAACCTACTTGCTTTGTTCTTGTTGAATAAATTCGATAATAATGTCTTTTTCAGGTTGGATTTGCAGTATTTTCAGGGATAGGCAGAGAAATGGTGTAGGTTTCACATTCCCTGCGTAGATCCCACCAATATATCGTAAATCAAGAGCGCGATCCACAATCAGGTCAGCTGAAGACGATCACTAAGAAGCAGCTCACCAATACCACAGGCATGTAGAACTAAATATTCACGTCAATCACTCACCGCTTAGTGCAAAGCAGTTCTCCTTCCAGTACTTACTGTCATAGATTCGCTGCCGAATGATTTTTTCAACCAGAAATTGAGGATTTGTACCTAAAAATGAACGAGATAGGAACTTTTGCAAATCTGTTCTCCGTTAAAAATTTAATAAAGGCAGAAAAAGACTAAGCCAGTTTTACCTCGCACAGTATGAGCCTCTTTTACAGTGCGATTAGCCATCTGGAATTCAGCACAGCTTCAAAACTTAGGAAGGACTAAAAACGGTATACAACAGAATTACGGATGTTATTAATGAAAAGCGCGGAAGAAATACGAACGGAGACACTAGGACCCACTAAAAAATAACAAAGGAAGTACAGCAGAGTTTTATTGAGGACATATATCTTGTACAGCACATCACAAAACAAAAACGTAAAGGTTGAGTTATACAAGCGAGTCGACAACAGTACAATCCATCAGACTCAGTAGACCTTCTTCCTAACGATCTCAGGTCGCCAAACGATAGGATGTGTTTCTTCTGTCTAAACAACAGACAGTAATAAACAGAAACTTTTCATATTTAGGAAATCATTTGGGATAAAGCACTGAATCAGCTCCAATGTGCAAATAAGCAATAAACCGCAAACTTACCGCCTCCTCATCTTCTCTGTACATCTTTACCGTTTTGTCGGCTTCCGCCGTTATCAATCGCAGTCCAGTTTTATCATAACACATTGCGTAAATACCTGCTTCAGAGTCAATCGATCCAGGTTGTGCTTTTGTTTGTATTTTCTAGAATAAAAACAAAACCATGAACAAGCATTGAAGTGTGCAGCACACCGAAAACTCACTTGGAAGCAGAATCCCGACCTCCAATCCCAGAAGCACATGGATCCATTATCACCACCAGATACAAGAACACCATCTTCATTACAAACCAAAGAGTTTACTATGGAATTATGTCCAGAAAGATTCTGAAAGGAGAATCTTTAACGGAACATCGTAGTATAGCGCATATATACTACATTATGTCTTCAAATCTTTGAGGAACTTTTCATACAGTCTTAACGCATTCCATAAAAAACGAGCACATGGAAGCACAAAGGAGTACCACCATTCACTACCAAACACGTTACTACACGATTCAAAAACTTGCCTCCACACGAACAAATGAAGCGGGAAAAGTAGAGCAAACCTGCATAAATTCTCCCTTCGGGAACTTCCACTGTTTAATGTTGTCAGGTGAAGCAGATGCAAACATAAACAATCTAGGATGAAGCACAAGAGCACGAACCGACTTCTGAAATACCCCTCTTTAGTGTTCAAATCATTTGTAACTTCTCCAGAAGAAAAAAAAGAAAACCAAGACACTCATACCCTTCAAAACCTTATTACCTGATTGGTGACGATGTGCCAACAATTGTGATGCAATCATTTTCTGGCAAACTGGCCAAAGTGTACTGCATATGATGCATTTCTTTTCTAGCTGTTTGTTTTGCTGTACACAACTTCATGCTGCGCTTCTTGCAACCACAAGATTATTCAACATAGAAGTTGTGGTGGGCGCAGACCGCGAAAAACTCTACTTTGTGCTTGTATAAAACCGCCCGCTTAACTGGGTTCATTGCCGATTTAGCCTCCCGAGATCAATCCCGTTGATGAGTGATTGCTGATGGCACTGGTAGATAGAAAACTAGCTGAGAGAAAAGCGAAACGAACGACGCGCATGGTGTAGTGGTGAACGCGTTAACCCTGGAAAGGGTAATAGCGCTATCATATGGAATGTGTGGGTATAAAAATATATAAGTAGACTACATACAACGCAGGCTGCAAAACAATTCCTTACAACTTACAACGCTTACAACAATGTGACTGTATGACGGACCACAATAAAGTGTAGTAAATAGTAGCACAGATACCATACAATCACCAAAGTCATATAGCAAAGGCTCTCTCATAATGTGAAATACAACTACAATGCTGAGATATTTGCAGAACTCTAGGCTGCATCTGCCTGCAGTGGGGATCGAACACGATATTACCCTTCCACGATATTACGATAAGACTAAAGAATTCGTCACCGCATCGAGCGGGTCCCTCGTTTCGCCCTGCTCTCAGCTAGTTTACCATCTATCAGTGTCTCTAGCAATGTTGCCGTGTTCTCAACTCTTCGAGTTCTTTGGTTACCAAAAAAATGCTTTCTATTATCGAAAATTCAGCAAGTGTACGACTTGAAATTTGTGAACGTTCTACGTAGCATCACACGAAATTGGTTAGCGTCAGCAATGGGTTAATTACTGACAAAACCGAAACTAGCTGAAATATGAATATTTTGAATGCAAAACAGTTATTTATAGCAATGATGAATTGAAAGAGATATATCAGGAGAATTTAAAAATGAAGAAAAACCAGCTTATCAAACCTTGTGATGGGTAAGAGTACATATAGACCGACCGGAGGCCAAATCCCAAAGGCGCACAGTAGAATCATGAGATGCTGTCACAACCTTTAAATTTGGTATGAACACCCTCATTTTGAAATAAGCAGAACATTTAACAGCGAAAGTAATAACTTCTATATGCTGAGATATTTGCAAAACTCCGGAGCGCAGGTGTCTGCGGTGGGGAATGAACGCGCTATTGCCCTTTACTAGTTCAATCAATCACTTGCTGAGAGACAGGCGAAACGAAGGACCCACATGGTGTGGTGGTAAACGCGTCACTCCCCGGAAACGACCATAGCGTGTTCGTTTTCCACTGCAGGCACCTGCGCTCCGGAGTTTTGAAAATATCTCAGCATTATAGAAGTTTTATTTCGCAACATACCCTGCCATTAAAAAGAATAGGCAGTAAATAAAAAAGTTAAGATAGCGAAAATAATGTTGAGGCATGAAACTGATACAAAGCCTAACAGATATGTAAAGACACAAACATACTTGCGGCTCAGCAGCTTGAGAAACGACATCTGACACAGTATTGGTGTGTCCTGATAGACAATGTACTTGAGCCTTCGTTCGCATATCCCACACCTGAACCCAATTAGAATAAAGTGGTTAAATCAAAACAAGAATTTCATATAAATTGAATAACATTTAGATTAGTAAAATACTAAAGATGCTCAAAACTTAACAGACATGAAAAACGTTTTTTATCCCATCGTTAAAGTGACATAGATGTACATAAAAAAGCTCTAAAAGCTCTCGTCGTTGATCAATCCCTTAGAGATGTGCCATGCATTCGACTTCATTAGACATCGTTGGGGGTGATTGAATGCATATCTGTGCTTCACAAAGACTCGCAGTGGCCTACTGAGCCATCGAGCCATTGCTGGTGTCCTTCCACACATGTCTCGTACCAAATTGCCTACCTCGGATGGATGGAAGGCTTGGTAAGCCTCCGGCATGGGAATCAATCTCATATGTGTTGCACGCCATCTCCGACCACTGTGCTACCCGCGCTACATCTCATAAATATAGAGATAGAATCAGTCCAAATTGTTATTATTTCTTGTATGAGCTTAAAAGAAAAAAAAAAGAGATTAGCCTCTCACAATAACGTTAATCGTAACCTTGAGAATATATCGAAATATTTACCCTGGTTGTTGAATCCCTAGCACAAGTTAAGAGAACATCTAAAGTAGGATGGATGCTAAGAGCCTGAACAGCACTTAGATGTCCGTGATAATGACGAATCACCTTATTATATTCGAGATCCCAACATTTAACCTGCAAAAATAAGCAAGAACGTCTAAAGTGTTTCTGAGAAAAACCACGTATGACTTTGTGGAATCGGGAATTTGAGCACACTCAGCTACCTGTTTATCTTCTCCTCCAGAAAACAAGAAAGGATGTCGAGGTGACACTTTAACGGCACGAACAGCACTAATATGGCCGGTCAACGACAGACGAAGTTTACCTGTCGCTAAATCCCAAATCTAAAGGCAACTGCTTAATGAAAACACCGCTTTATTAGTACAAACAACAAATCAACGAAACACAACCCGTACCTTTATGATTCGGTCACCTCCTCCGCTGGCGAACCACTGATTTTGAGGTTCAACATCTACAGCTCGAACCCAACCTGTGTGACCTAAACCAGCCTTATTATACGACTTCAATATTCACTTTAAATATAGCGAGAAGCAACGAAGATCTACCCGATATAACTCTATACAATTTCCAGGGCGCATGCCACTTAGGCTTCACCATCATTGGTGCTCGAAGAGGAAGTAACGATCGTGTTGTGTTATCCTCAGCTCGATTACTACTTGATCCGACAGGCAAAGAAGATATTACTTGCCTGGAAAGTAAATCCCGTTGATACTTATATTAAAAAAATAACGAATAGCTAACCCTTGTGCTGTTCCAGCCGAAGTAGGTTTTCCCGTTCCATCAGTTATAGCCAAAGGTCCATCGGAGGAGTTCACAACAGAGCCAACTGCTACAGATGGTTTGGTTGACGGCAACTAAAGTAGAATCAGCTTAGACAACCGTCTGTCAAAAGCGTTTTGGTATATTATTGACGTTACTGTAACAGCTTTAGAAAACGTAATTTCTTACTTCCTCCCAAAGGTTTACCGCCTCATCGTAACTGGGATGTGTTCCTGGGTGTGCAGTGGGGGGATCCATCCCCTGGTAGGGTCTTCCAAGCTGAGGAGTCCGGCGTTTCCATCACGAAGCCTAGGTAAGAGTAAACCAATCCCAGGATCCACAACCGTCCTGATATCAAATTAGTCGCATGGGTGCAAATCTCCATCTGACCCACAAGGGCTGCGACTACCCGTGGTGGTGACGACGTGGGGCATACTTTCGCCAGGCTGACCTCAGGACTCCAGGGAACAATAGTGACTTAACCAGCAAATCTCCGAAAAATAGAGATTATGCAGGGGCCCCCACAGTGAGGACGTGCCATTCAAGTATCAAGTAAGAAAAAGGAAGACGCATTTTAAAGTGCAGATATGAAGGCCACTTAACATTTTCGATAACAGAAATCTAAATAGGATTGATAATTACTTGATAAACAGCATACCACATGCAGTCGCCGCCCTTGTGGATCATAGGGAGATTTACAACCATGCGACTAGTTTGCTCCCATGATGTCAGTCGATCAAGGTATTGGTTTAACCTTAGCTGGGCTTCCTCATAGAAACGCTAAACTTCTTTTCAGTTTCGGAGACCTAGTGGAGGAATGGAACCTCCCGCTGTACATCGCAACCCGACACCCAGGAACACCTCCAAGCCACGATGAGGCGGAAACCCGTTGCGAGGATGTAATTTCTTACAAAAAAAATGGCTTGGTTGCTAGACGAAAATATAATGAACAAGGTATTTAACCTCAGTTTCAGCAATAGAATGAACAAAGGAAATTTCCACCTGACCTTCAACATTTCCTGCTCTCGTCGTTTCTTAGCTTCTTCTACATGTCTGATAACTGCTCCATACTCACACTTCTTCTTTAACGACCGAATAAAACCCAACCTAAAACATGAAGATTTAGAACACAACCTCATAAATTACAAAGACAAACGCCAGCAACTCTGGTTCCGATAGCTCAGGAAAAGTTGTATAGTCACAACTGAACATGTCATGTGTGCGTTTCATAGATCGAAATACTAAGTTCAGTAAGGTCTTCTGCAACTGATCCGGTTGCTGAATCCCTGAAAAAGAAGCAATTAAAACACTTATAAGCAACAAAAGGTCAAATGCAAAAAAGTAATAGCAAAACCTCCTTCTCCATCGTCGGCATTTTTCTCAGCATCGTTAGTCTCTTCATTACCAGTGGTCACCGATTGAACATCCACAGACATGGTCTTCTATAAAATATTTTCTGAACGAAGTTATGAATTCATTCCATGAGACATTACGAGACAGCATCCAATCCAGCAAAACATTTAACGTATCCAAACAGTTTACCGCCTCATCGCGACTGGGAGGTGCTCATGAGTGTCGGGCTGCGATGTACAGTGGGAGATTCATCCCCTTGGAAGGGTTTCCCAAGTTAAGGAATCCAGCGTTTCCATAAGGAAGCCCAGCTAAGACTAAACGAATATCAAGATCCACCACCGTCCTGGAATCAAACTAGTCGCATGGTGGCAAATCTCCTTCTGATCCACAAGGGCGGCGACTGCTTGTGGTGGTGACGATCCGGGGCAGGTTTTGGCCTAGCTAACCTTGGGACGCCAGCGAACCACAATGGTTAAACCTGTAAAACTCTGAAAAATGGAGATTACGGTGGGGCCCGCACAACCAGTGAGAACAGCTCGTCTGGTTATCCAAGTTGCACGTATATGTGCATAATACAATACAGTTAATATCCCACGTTTAAACGAAACAACAAGACTTGCTTTTCAAAGAAGGTTAAAAAGCCGATTAGAAAAGAACCTGAGTACGAAAGTGCTACGATCAGATGAAGCCAACTTCGAAAGACGATAAAGCCGTCTGAAAACAATCGTACGTAGTTACGGTCTCCATCACTCTACTTTCGTCTGGCTCATTTCATATGTTGAGTTGCTATCGTATTCGGTAAAGTAGTTTCATGTTGTAGCTATGTAGGATCTAGCCCGATTCCTATTACTTTATTGACTGCAAGTGAGTGACCAGATCTTACAAATCAGGAAAAATTAGGGAAATGTTTTGGAATCTACTTAGTATTTTCGCTAGTAATTCATCTTTCCTTGTTTTCTTTAAGTCTAATGTCTCCTTACGTTCCAACGTGACTCAATCCTGCCATATTTCAGTTTCAGTTCGGAAATCCGAGATGGCAAATTGTTCTAAAGCTGAGTATCTGCAACGGTACCTTTCTTCTGATAAGGAAGAAGCAGGGAAAAAGAAGAAGAAGAAGAAGGTTAAGGAAGCTGTTCGGGCGCCGGGGTAGTTCTAGCTAGCTATACTAGCGCTTTTATATACTACATGGTGTTAAACTGTTTCAATGTTTCCCTCGATTAGATTACGTATTGTCGAGGATGATGCTTTCATAGCAGTCACAGCTCAATTCAAGAATATTGACTCTGATGAAGAGAAAGAAGATATCGCAATAATATCCAGTATCACGAAACAGGTTTTCTTTTGTTTTGTTTTCATTTTCGCGCGTGTAGCGTAGTGGTCGGAGGCACCCTGCAATACACATGGGATCGGTCCCCCAACTCTAAGCTCATCAAGCCTTCCATCCCTCCGGGGTCGAAAAATCGGTACCGGACGTGTCTGGGAGGATAGCAACACTGGCTCGATACATTGGTAGGCCACCGCGAGTTATTGTAAAGACCAGATATGCGTTCGATCACCTCCAGCGATGCTGAATGAAGTCGAATGCATGGCGCATCCCTCAGGGATAGATCGACGCCGACAGCTTTATCTTTCTTTTATAGTTTTCCTTCCGAAGTTGATCTTGATAGTTACGGCTCTAGGTAGAAGAGAAGGCACGTGAGGCTCCGAGGTTCCGGAACTCTTTTCAACCACTTCAAGAAGTGAAGTGCGAACCCTCATCACCATCAGCTGAAGCAAGAGAACGAGGTTCGTGGAGTAGTTCTTCTGATAAATGTGTTTTGGTGAATTGCTGTGTAGCAGTCTTTATAATTTAGGGAGCACGACTCGAGAGGTTTGCAGTCCACCACCTCTACCTAGCAGTGAGTTCTTGGAAATCGGTTTTCTGCTTTTTGCTAAGTACTTTAAGACGGTATAAATAATTGTTTCTGCGTAGTAGAATTTAGAAACCTATTGCAACAAATGATTTTAGCTTAGCATTAAAAGCTTAACATTAGTTTTGCATCAACAGTAGTTTTTCCTTGTCTTTAATCCTCTATTCAGAGAGTTGCGACTATTCCGACAAAGATCTCGAAAAATCTCATCGAAAGAGTGAGTTGTTTCTGTGGTAGATTTGGTGGTCATACTAGAAATTTCACCTTATAAAATTGGTCCACTTTTGCCTTTTTTGGGTCTTATTGTGAATGTAAGCGCTTTTTCCTCGATTAGGAAGTAATATGGGGAGTGGGTAGCGCAGTAGTAGTGATCTCGTTCATTAAATGTGCGGAGCAAGCTATCAACGCCCTGGTTCGAGCCCGCATCGGGTCCACCAAACCTCTCATCCCTTCAGGGTCAGGAAATTAGTCTTGGCCTTGTGTGGGAGAAATCAGTCTGCAGTAAAAGTGGGAACGCACCACTTGCCCGACTATCTCAGGACTCCAGTGAGAATCCTCCACCAACATTCAACGCAAATCTGAGATATGAATAAATTCATCGAACTACAGCCGAACCCACGGCATGGGAAGTTCAAAGTGCTTCGCGGATGCAGGACGTGCTATGACCCTCACAATACGTTGTATATAATGTTAAGTCATGTGGTAGTAATAAAAAAGTGAATGTAAACACCTTCGATTTTTGCGGGTTTCCCTAGCAGTTCTCAATCATTTCGTAATTTTTAAGGAAATGTTTCCGAAACAAATAAAGTTATTGAAATGAAGTCGTTCTAGCAAGGCGTCGTCATGATTCCGATTCTGATCCGTCTCCTCAAAGATGTCGTGAGTTTAGTACCTTGCCCTAATTTTTGTTTTTGAAAGGCAGCTGTCCATTTTTGGAATGGTGTTCACTTTTTCCTAGTTCCACATTTTTTGTGCTATTTTAGAGACCATTTGAAAAGTAAAAATTTGGCCACAATGATGCCGAAGTATTTGCAAAATTCCGGACCGCAGGTATTTGCGGTAAGAAACGAATTCGGTATTACCCTTTTCGGGGTTGACGTGTTTACCACCACACAATGTGGGCTCTTCGTTTCGCCTGTCTCTCAGCTAGTTTCCTATCTTCCAGTGCTATCAGCGATCACCCGTGAACAGTACTGAATTGAGGAGCATATATCGGCATCGAATCGTTAGGCTGAGGTTGTAGTCGAAATCACAATGTAAAGTATTTTATTTACCGCCTACTACAGTTCTTCATGGCAAAATATTTTATGTGAAATGCAACCAAAATGGTTGAATGCCGATTTATGCTCCCCAGCTCAATCCCGCTGATGGGTGATTGCTAATGGCACTGTTAGATAGAAAACTAGCTGAGGGAAACGCGAAACAAGAGACCTGCATGGTGTGGTGGTGGACGCCTTAGCCCCTTGAAAGGGGAATAACGCGTTCCATCTCCACCGCTGACACCTGCAGACCATTGTAGTTGTATTTCACATAATACCCTGCCATGAAAAGTTGTAGGCTGTAAATAAAGAAATTGACATAGTAAAAATTTAGTTCGAACTAAACTAATATGGTGTGCAGATATATCTAACGAAAATGTTAGTTAGTTTGTAGTTTATTCATTCACAAATGTAGAGTGCTTCGCATAAGTTAATACTGAAATTTTCTATTTATATCCCAAGATGGCAATGAGCAGATAGCAACTAAAAGACGAGATGAGTGCGACCAACCACCTTTCCGGCGAGATGGCAGAGAACGTACGGGTGTTTCTCCTAGAAGATATGGTGAGCCCGAATTCAGTTGCCTTCATGCATGTGTTTGCAAAAGATTAATCGCTGTAATAAGTTCTATAAAGGGCAACTGCTTTCATCTTTCTATTTTGCGCTGCTGTGAAAAGAGACCATTATGCTTGAAAAAACTAGTCTCAGGAAGCTACTGTTTGGCCATAGTCTTGCAACTTTTCGTTTAGAAACCATTCGCCCTGAGGAGGAAGAGTTTTTCCATGTTTTGTCAGGTAGTGAGCAGAGTGGTAGGGATGTCGTTTATTGCGAGCATGGTACCATGTTCAACTCTTCGTTCTCGTCAGGCATGTCCTCCCTCAGGTGTGAGGGAATTGATAACGCACTTTTCTGAAAACAGTCCACTTCCTGCATTGCAAGTGGAAACGCTCTAGCAAGGCTATCCGAGGACTCTGGTCAGAATTGACTTGATCTGCATTCATTAGCATTCATAAAGAAATTGATAATGCTCAAGCCGCAACTGAACCCACGCCCGAAAGGTTCGAAGTCTTTAGTGGGTAATGTATGCGAGGAAACAAATCGAATGCAAGAAGTTCTAGAATCCGTACCGCAGTTGTGATGAGGGGGCATAAAAGAAATCACGCAGAAACGAAGGTGTAGTTAAACACTTGCACTCTGTGATTGTAAAGGTCAAATTACCATCTTCTAATTGCCGAAGTTCAATTCTGTGCTGATGGGTCTTAACTTTTGCTAGTTAGGTGATATAAGCAAGGTAGGAAGACTTTAATTCTCTGCATCTATTAATGTGTAACTTTGTTTAGTTATTCATTGTTTCCGTTATATTCCTATACTAATCCTTGTGGAATTTTAGAAAGGTCACATAAAGAATCGAGAAACGCGGTCAAGGTTGAAGTTGACTCAGATCAGTCACCACCAAGAAAAGGTGTGTTCAATTTTCGTTGTCGATCTTTTCTTGTTTATAGTAAGCGGTACTCCTTAGTTGCTGAACGCCACTGTCATTCCAAAAATAAAGGAGTTGGTGTTTTAAGTTCCAAAATAGATGTCTTCTTAGTTTTTTTTTTCTACTATGAAAGAGTGGATATATTCGTTTTCATTTTTTTTGTTTTATGAAGTAAATGTAGATATGGTTTCAGTTCCGAAACATCAGGTACGAAGGTTGGACGAATCTGATTCTGATTATTCACCACCTCGAAAACGTGGTAAGACGTGTTCGTTTTGCCATACTTTATTTTTACACGTTTTGATGTTCTCCGCTAAGTTTAAATTATAGAGCGATCGCATCAACATAGTTCCAGAACAGTTGATGTTGACTCAGATCAATCATCCCTAAGAAAAAATTATTTCTGTTTGAAATTGAGACTATTTCTGTCCCTTTACACTTTTTTCCCACTGTTTTTCGAGTATTTTTTTTGAGATTCCTTTAATTTATGTTGAATGTGTTAAGGAAGTCGTATAAGATGTTGTAAGAATTTTTAAAAGTTCCTTTTATTCTATGATCTGAGATATAATTCAGTTTTAAGGGCGATCTAAAGGTGGAACAAAATCAGTCTCAGATCAGTCTCCACCTAGAAAGCAAAGTCTTTTAGTTCTTCCCTTGCTTGTATCTCGCGTTATGTTTCCCAAATTCCTTATTTGAACCTTTTCCAGTTTGCTCTAAACCATGCGTTATGAAAAGAACATAGTTTTTTTTCGTGTTTTTTAAAAGTTGTTCTGATTTGTTTGAAAATTTTATATCTGTTATAAGAATTGCGCAGTTTTTAATATATGATCTGAATATAACTGAATTTTAAGAGCGATCTGAAGGTGGAACAAAATCAGACTCAGATCAATCTCCACCTAGAAAACAAGGTATGCTTAATTCTGTCCTTGCTGATATATCGCAATGTGTTTTCTAATTTTTTTTTTTGAACTTTGCGATTTGTTCGAAGGCATCCGGTGTGAAAATAGCATGGATTTTTTCCTTCGAGTTTTTTAAAAGTTGTTCTAATTCGTTTGAAAATGCATGTGTTATAAGGATGACGCAGAATGTTACGAGAATTTATTCAAATCCTACTTCTAATATGTGATTTGATAATAATTGAATTTTAAGGGCGATCTAAAGGTAGAGCAGAATCGGACTTAGATCAGTCTCCGGCTAGAAAGCAAGGTATGGTTTATTCTTTTAGATGTCCGGGTTTTCATTGTTTTTGTTTAGCTTTAGCTTTCAACATCTATGCTTCAGGTAAGGAGAAATGTCATGGTTCTAAAAGGCGTACACGACACGACAGTGGTTCGTTTATTCTTACTAAACTTGTGTATATTTTTGACCGTACGGGTGTTTCCCAATACCTCATCTGTTTGAATAAGCTATATTTGGTCATTCAAGTTTTTAATGTTCTATTCTAGCATCTAGTTATAACTGCATGAAGTATTGTTTTTATTCGAATGTAAGAGTTGTTCTTACTCCAATAAAAGGCTAGGGAGAAATTTGTTCGGAAAATGTATAGAATTAATATAAAACGAGCACATTAATTCGAGGTGGTTGGCAATATATATTTACGTCATATCGCGATATTAGGGTTTGTAAGAGCTATTATAGTTCACTAAGAAATATTTGTTCTCATTTTCGATATCTTAGTAGAGAATACAACACTTCTTCTTGATAGCTACCATGTGAGATCTTAATACTACTGGAAGGGATTGCACTAGTGAGAGAGGGGAATTGTGTGTAGTACCTCTTGACACCATTGGCGATCACCAGTCGTCCCATTACTATTTCCATTTCTCCCTGCTGCGAGCGAGAGTAGATCATTGAGTTCTGCTCGTTCCAGTGAATCGTGAGCATCGTATCTTTTTTCTATGGTTTTTTGAAGAGTTCTTATCATCGATCAGTGCTCTTCCAGCTATGCGTTGGAGATTTCGTGGAATCTAGTCGCTAACGGCTCTTGATCTCCGGTCTATTGTACCTCGGTTGTCCATCATATGCATTGCGTGATGAGACCACCTTATCTTCAACAATTTGGCGTATAGAACGACGGCTTTGATTTTGATCGTCGATGTATGTCGGAGCTTCGGTTCTACAATGTGCCTTGTATGACGAGAAACTCCTAACATTGTCCTCTAGACGACGCGTTCTGTAACACTGAGTGACCTTTTATGCTACTTATGCAGCTATCAGGTTTCTGACGCATACGTTAAGGCAGAGAAAATCCAAAAGTGGGCACGGAGTCGGGTGTTTTTTCTTCCTTCCACTACATCCTCGATGCTTTTGAAACCTCGCCAAGCCACTGGACTCATTCTGCTCAACTACGAAACTAAGTCGTTCATCATGTTATTTCGCGACCGTAATTAACGTAACCGGGGCATTCGGGGATTTTTGTTCCGTTGAGCGTAGGTTTGGCATATCTAACTAATCCATTCCTCATGTACATCGTTTTTGTGAGATTTAGTCGAAAACCAGTTTTTCCACAGAGTTTATCAAAGTCTGCAAGCATTCATTCCGCTTGGCTAATACTTGCAGTTATAAGAACGATGTCATCAACAAAGGGAAGGTGGTATAGTTGGCGATCACCGATGTTCACTTCCATGTTGTCCCATTTCAGTGAACTTATGAAGCTGTGGAGAGTGACAGTAGATAACTATAGTGAGATTGTACCGCCTGGTTTAAGCCGTCTTTTTACGTCTATACTAATATCATTGTACAATTATTATATTCTGTTTGTGGAATTTTTGGACATCTCACGAAGAATCTTTATGCAATGAGTAGGGACTCCTGTCTATCAAGGACTTCCATGAGTGCTTCTATCTCAACTGAGTCAAATTCCGTCTTTAGATCGATAAAACTTAGGCAGAGGAGTCTCTGGTATTCTTTAGATACTTCATTGAGCCTCGTTGTGCTGTAGATATGGTCCGTTATACTGAACCCATTTCGAAGCCATACTTCCTTACATAGTTACCTTTTGGTGTAGTGTTCCGTCAGTCCTGTTGATTATGACTCGAATGAGGAGTTCATGGACAATAGAAACCGAAGGTATGTGTTACATCGGCTTAGCAGAAACGGAGTTCTTCCTACTGATCTATCTGCGGAAGCATAAAGTCGTTCTTGGTCCTCACTTAACCCCCTATCTGCCACCTGTAGACGCGCCACGTTGCCTCGTTAGTAACCGGTAGGAGATCCCTCTATGAGACAAATCCATGACCTGTTGACGAAATAGTTACTTGAATACTTGGATGGTCCTTCTTCACAGTTATACGGGCCCGGAGTAATTTCTTTTCTTCGGAGATTTGCTGGTTTAGTCATTCTGATTCCCTTGAGTCCCGAGGTAAGCCTAACTGAAGTCTTCTTTAGTTGTTTACCATCCAAGCCAACCACCGCCTTTCTGGATCGAAATGTGATTCGTCACCATACCACTAGTTTGACACCAAGACGTTGGTGATTCCTGGTATTGGTTTACTCGTAGCTGGGCTTCTGGATAGAAACATCGGACTCGTTCTTAGCTTGAAAGGGATGAACCCCGTTGTACATCGCAACCTGACGCTCAGGATCACCTCCTAGGTACCATGAAGCGGTAAACCGTTGGGAGGGTTAACGGTATATGTAGAGATATATGACATAGAGTTTATGCTTGGATGGGGAGGAAGTAGATCGATTACATAAAGTTTGCTGTTGTGCTACTGGATTTTCTGATCATAGGAGAAGACCCATCAGCTTCGAAACCATACATTTATGTGACAAATGGAGAGGACTATATTGAACCCCCAAATTGGTGTACTGACGTATGTCAAGCGTTTCATTTTATGTCCTTTCGAACAGAGTTCCTTTTGAGAACTCGGTGTTAATTTGTGTTCAACTATTTTTTTCTTTCACTTTCGAGTCTCTGACCTGCCTTTTTGCCTCCTGTTATTTTTTTCGCTTGAGAACTTAATATTTGCGACGTAAACACGTTCCATGCTGAGGTGATAGAGATCCACGTTCCATATCGATTGACTAGAGCAGTTTCGTGAAGACGGATTAAGGAACTATTACACGTGACTGTGAGGTGTTCCTGGGCGCTCAGACTGCGATGTACAGTGCGAGAGCAGGCCGTTCATCTTCCCAGCAAGGCTTTCAGTGAGATCGAGTTCGATATTTCCTTTGGGAAGCCTAGCTAAGAGTAAACCAAATCTCTGCCGTCCTAGTATCAACCTAGTCACATTGTGGCAAATCTCTCTCTGATCCACAGACGGCGACTGGCTGGGTTAGTGCTGACATGAGAAGTGCTTTGGTTAGGCTGGCCTCGGGTGTCTTAGTGAACCACAATGACTAAGCCACCAAGAGATCTCTGGAAAATACGGACATTGCGCTGAGGCCTGCACCTCAGTGAAGACGGGCGATCGAAGTAAGTAAATATATATAGAATTGGAAACGGTCGTTATTTTCTGATCTTAGGCTGGAATTGTAAACTTGTCATCGAAGGAAATCATTGCCTAACTTTGAAGGTTTTAGTCCTCAATGTAGAACTTTAGTAAATCTAAGTCCATAGAGCTAAGGAACATATTTCGAAATGGAATCGATCTATAGACTTAATCTCCATGAACACAAATGGTTTTATTTAAGCATCTAAAAACAAAAAGAACCTAAAAAGATTAGGTTGGTTTCTCCCAACTTCACAACTCTTTCATTGATATTTTGTTCATCTACCTCCACAATGCAAGAAATTTCGTTTTGCTCACCTTGTCTTTAACAATAACCATGTTCTAAACTACAGAAGGGAAGTCCTTTTATTTTCTTGTCTTAAACGAACATCTAAGTAAAAGACCGTCCAATTTAAGATGGTTCTCCTGGTCGAAAACGAGATCAAGACAGGCGCCGTAATCGACGCGTGGCGACACCTGAGCTTCTGGGCAAAGAAACTAAGCGAACTCTAGATGGGAAGGTAAGGATAAAATCTGAGGTTCAGCACTTTGCTTTAGTTTCTTGCTCCCATCGAGAGGGTCCCATACAAAATGTTGTTCACAAAAGCTTTTTTAATGTTTCTTGAAAGCTAACGCTTCCCGTGCATATGAGACTAATATTGCATTGGACAATCCTTTCCACATAGAAGTCATAACAGTTACTCACGTAATAAAGAATGAAGTAATGGGCTAATGTTGATTGGTTGACCCTTAGTTCGTTGTTTTTATTTTAGATAGCTGGACTTCAGTCTGCTGATGATCTTAAAAAGGAATCTGAAGAACTTCGAAAACAAGAAACAGAAGTATGTGACATCCGCATTATACGTACTATTACTACTTTTCGATTTGAACTTTGCATTTAAGATGTTTGAAAGATTGGACACGTCAATAAGTGGAAGATATGCAACAACCACTTTTAGGCAAAAACAGGTGCGAAAAGGTAAGTGTTCTCATATATTCAGTTTTTTCACTAGATGTGTTGATTTCGCTTGCTCAACTTATTACCAATTGCTTTGTTATAACATAGGAAAAGAGAAGCCAGAAGATAAGGAGAGAAAGGAACGAGAAGCTAAAAAACAAGCTGAATTACAAGAAAAATATGACCTTTGGAATAAAGGCGTGGCTCAAATCGAGAGGGTTTGTCTGTTGATTGAACTCATTATTTCATACGATTCTCGTTTTTTGGTGGTAAAAGTGAAGGCTTTGTTGGCTACTCCAAACATAATTTAGCGTGAACAACAAATGGAAGAGATGGCGCGCGTGGCAGCGGAACCATTAGCTCGCATGGCAGACGATAAGGAAATGAATAAGCATTTAAAAGAGATTATTCATGAGGAAGACCCAATGGCGGCCATGTTGCAGAGTAAAAAACGCGAAGATGCCATTGACCGTGGTGAGCTAGGTGAGGTGCTTTCAGCCTACGTGGTTTCAATATGTTAGTTCTTGTTCTCATTTCAATACCATCCATTGGGGTTGGTGTTATAGTCTACCCAACCTACCAAGGCGAATGCCCACCTAATCGTTTCGGAATACGGCCGGGCTATCGATGGGATGGAGTCGACCGTTCCAACGGATTCGAGGCAAAACTAGCCCGAGCTAGAAATGCGAAGAGTGCCCAAGATAGGGAATTCTATCAAAATATCCAATTGTATGAATGAACTCATTAATTTTGTTGTTTTGCTCTAAGTTGTTAAATATCCTTGTATTAACATTACCCTATTATCCTCTCTTGATAATTCATGTGTTTCATCTACTATCCCGTTAATAATGGAATAAATGGAACTTATGGAAGTAAGGTTTCTATTCATTTCTGTCATGTGCTAGAGCTGCTACACTTGCTCATGAGAGACAAAATACAATACGTTTTTGGCACAGGCTTTGTTGTAGTACATGTTAACCTTAACTGTGCTTCTGACTGTCTGTCTTTCAATTTGAACGACTCTAAGGATGGAGTCACGAAGTAGCTGTGTGCTAGTTCGTTTTGAATTCGTTACCACATACTCGATAACTATCGTTTATAGATTTGAGGAAAAGTTGGCTTTCTTTTGGGGTAATTTCTTCCGATTCGAACTCATTAGTTTCTAGTCGCATGGTGGAAAATCTCCACAAAGATCCACAAAGGCGACGACTGCCTCTAGTGGTGACGACCTGGGGCAGACTTTGGCCTGGCTGACCTTAGGATTCCAGGGGACCACAATGGTTAAACTAGCAAAAATCCGAAAAAATAGAGATTCTGCTATGGCCTTACACAACCAGTGAGGACGAGCCATCCAATTATCCAAGTGAAACATGGAAGAAAAAATCGTTTGCTTCATGAGTTCCGCGATAATGGTATGAAATAGCAACCTGAACACAGGCCAAAGAATGGCTTGTGGTTGCGCAGGATATGATTCGAACGGTTTGGTACCAGACATTCCTTACGGTGGAGAATGTCGATTGCATGTATCATCAATTGACAACGACGACCCTTGAAGACGATAGTCCAAGCTGCCCCTCAAAAAACTATGTGAAGGGATGTACGAAAACGGAACTTGCGTGATTGAACAACCATTCATCATTCTGAAGGCACTAGCCTGAAAAGCCCTGAAAACAGATGCCGCGTAAACAGAACGAATCCCAGCTAGCTCGTTATCACGAAACCTCCTTCTTCCTTTACGGAAGAAAAACGAGTGATCGCTCGATCGTATTGTGACTTTCGATGAAAGACTGACGCTCGACGGCGTTTAGTTAGGTGATTAGACCGAGACGAAGCTCAAATATTCTTCAAAGCGGATTTGCATTGAAAGATATGCTCGCTGCAACGAGGAAAATGAGATGTGTCTCCGGACTAAACTTTATAGTCTTTCTTAAGCGTTGCAGGATCCAAAATCGCATGCCGAACTCATAGCCAAAACGATATTCTAGGAAGGGCCTTTTGAGGCCTACAACTGACATCACTTTCCATCCATATACATTCCTGGGAAATTAATATCAGAAACATCCTGCTAGTAGTGTTCCACACAATATGAATCCTTTCTTCGATAAGCTTACACGAGGGTGATATATAATTTTTATTCGGATTATCGCGGTTTTATTGAGCTTCTTTATGCGAGTCGATGGTGCACCAAGAGATGCTCCGCTGAAAAAGATCCGACTCCAAGACTGAGACGCCATGTCGAGACACCGACTCGAATCATCGGAGCACTAATGAAAACAACGACGTTGAAACCTTAGCCGAATAAAGATTATATACAAACTTCGTGTAAGCTTGTCATAGAAAGGATACATATTGATTAGTCATAACAAGGTTAAAGTAAATTCGATTTTGAAATAACGTTACAAACAGCTGAGTGGCATTTTCATTTATAAAATACACCATTTGTGAATTCCTACATAAGATGGGAAAATTGACGCGATATTCGAATTCTGTGCAAAAGACAAGATATGTACATGAGTTAAATGACTTGAGAACATCTGAAGACGCCACATCAAGTGCTAGCACGAGGTTAGCCAACTTAACCATATATAAGTTAAAGATTCACAGAAGAGAAGCTATGGAAAGATAATAGGTACAGAAAACTTTAACTTCAACGTTTCAGGAAGAAATTTATGCTTGGTGGCTGTGAAGTCCATGCAGAATGGTACGCAGAAATCGTAAATACTTCTGTTGTTGTCAGCCAGCAGCACAATCCGATCACGATTAATGCGAAGACGCAATCTGAACGAAAAACATTTGAAGCACTCGACCTGGGTAAGAAAAAAATCGATAAATTGGGACTTTGCAAAGATTTAACTCTCAACACCATCAACGATATCTCAGCAACTAGCCCTTACGCGACGACGCCTAGTCGTGTCGTTAGGGTTTTCTTGGTATTCCGATAACAAATGATAATTTGTCCATAATTCGAGAACATGAGGGATTAAGGACATTAAAAAAAGGCATTAAAGAAGAGACATCACTCTAGGAGTATGCATGGTACGTACGCTACAATTTACCATATTCTAGGGCGCGTGAGGCACAGGGTTTGGAGGCACCGCTGAGACACACACGTGGAATCGATCCCCGCTCCTATGGCCCACCAAGCCTTCCGTCTCTCCAGGGTCGGCGAATCGGTACCAGACTTCTCCGGGAGGATAGCAGCACCGACTCGATACATCGACAGGCCATCGTGAGTCATTCTAAAGGTCAGATCTGCATTCAATCACCTTCAACGAACGATGAAGGCGCATCCTTCAGGGACTGATCAACGTTGAGAGCTTTATCCTTTACTTGCATTCACATTTTTAAAATGTACTTATGTAGGCCTCCCAACGATTTACCGCTTCATCGTGGCTGGGAGATATGCCTGGGTGTCGGGGCGCGATGTACAGCGGGGGAATACTTGCCCCAGCAGGGTCTCCCAAGTTGAGAATGAGTCCGGCGTTTCCGTCGAGAAGCCCAGCTAAGAGTAAACCAATGCCAGGACCCACCACCGTCCTGCTATCAAACTAGCTGCATGGTGAGAAATCTCCCTCTGATCTATCAAGGCAATGACTGCCTGTCGTGATGACGACCTGGGGCAGATCTTGGCTAGGCTGACTTCGGCACTGCAGTGAACCGCAATGGCTAAACAGAAAAACACCGAAAAGTGGAAATTATGCTGGAGCCCGCACAACCACTGAACACGTGACGATATCCAAGTGTCCAAGTACTTATGTAGACGCGATAACTATGGTTTATCATACCGATTGAAACTGAAATGGAAGTCAACTATCACTCAAATTAACGTCTGTAAAAGTTTTAATTAATTATTTTCAGTAAAATCGTCTGAAGCAGGAATTCTTTAAATTATTATATGTCGAAGACATTTCTATAGACGACAGCCGTTACAACACGTGATCGACAAGCTATCTATAGATGAGAAGAAGTCTATGAAAAAACATTTGTTCCAGAATAAATCACCGAAAATAACACTACTTTCATAGCAATACCATAATGCCCATTATATGACTCCTATATACTTCACGTCGTCGCGTAAGAGTTAACCAGGCATAGTCCTTCATGTACTTGGATACTTGGATGACCCGTCTCCACTGGTTGTGCGGACCTCAGCATAGTTTCCATTGTATCGGAGTTTTGCTGATCTAGCCATTGTGATTCCCTGGTGTCCCAAGGTCAGCCTGGCCAAAGCCCGTCGCAGCTCGTCGTCACCACAAGCAGTCGCCGCCCTACCGGATCAGAGAAAGCTTTGCCACCATGCGACTATTTTGATACCAAGACGGTGGTGGATGCTGGTACTGGTTTACTCTTAGTTTGGCTTCATGATGGAAATCCGGACTCCTCAGTTTGGCAGACCTTGCCGGGGCGATAAATCCCCTCTCAGCACGTCGCAGCCCGACACCCGAGAACGCTTCCCAACCATGATGAGGCGGCAAACCGTTGTGAGGTCTTTCAGGTACAGCAAAATGAATTGTGCTTAGATGGGTACAAAATAAGTTGATTGAAAAAAAACAATGGCACTTACCTATGAATAACAGAAATTTCCTTGTCTTTCAAAAATAGTTCAATCATTAGTTTTGTTCCTCTAAACAAGCAGATGTGCACACCGGCTGGTTGTTGTATACCGAAATATTTAAGGACCTTAATAGTACGTGTCGACATCTACATATGAGCATCCAACAAAACGTTTACAAGGAACTAAAATACCACAGTATCCCCTGATGGGACCGTTGAAGTGATTTCCTGAATAACGGGAGCCACTGGTCTTTTCATGATTTTCATTGGTTCAATATATCCCATCAGTGTGCGATTCTTCAATTTGACACACTTGTTTGGATCCAGTTTCAAATGATGCTTAAAACCTACTGATTGGCGCAAAATTTAAATCAAAGTTCTTGACATTTAGAATAGAATGAAATATCGTCCCTACCTTGTCTTCAATGGCTTCACAAACTACCATACAAAAGAAATGACGGAAAAAGTTCGCATTTGGTGGAGCAAGTCTCCTCTCATAAAAGGTGCTATTAACCAACACATCGATCTGAAGTGTCCTATGCGTTTGTCTACCACAATGTGATAACAATGATTTCGAAGGGATAGAACCGGAATGAAGAAAATAGAAAAATGTGGCGATGTAACAAAATGAAAACCTTTGGCTGATTAGCATTTTTATTGTCGACGACACTGTCAAGTTCTCCAATGCTGACAGGTATTCGGAAACCAATATCCCCTTTATCTATGCGGGCAGCAAGTTCATCCTGAATAAGAGGGTGTCAGAATGTTTGATCAATCGTACATCCTGAAATCCTTCCTGCTTCAAATTACCCTTCAAAGCAATTGCAGATCATGAAAGGAATACACAGTGATTAAATCCAATGGTCAATAAGATGTTTAGTAACTGATACTCGCCTACGCAGTCGCCACTGTGGGGATTTATCGATGACTGAAAGAACTCAGACGACAACTCGAGAACTGATCCTGCCCATTACTTTAACGGACGATTTCTCGAGAACAGCATCTTATGTCAACTTTTTTATTTACTACCTACTACAGTTTTCACGGGAGGGCTTTAAGTGTGATACAACCACAAAGATGCTGAGATATTTGCAAAACTCCGGTCCTCAGGTGCCTGCAGTGGGGATCGAACACACTGTTACCCATTCCGACGGCTGGCGCGTTCACCGCAACGCTATGCGCGTTCTTCGCTTCGCCTTTCTCTCAGCTAGTTTTCTATCTACCAGTACCATTAAAGACGAAAAGAACCAAGGACACGCATGGCGTGGTGGTGAACGCATTAGCCTCCGGAAAGGGTGGTAGCGTGTTCGATCATTTTGAAATCAAATCTTAAATCTTAATCTAACACTGACAATTTTAAAAAACCCAAAATGAGCACTGCAGCTGAAAAATTTAGTTCTTCAATCACTAACCTGTTTGGAGTAGGCGCGACTACGAAAAAACAATGAGTCTCTTCTTGTTTGAGTTTCCATTTTCAGGGAGTCATCGTACACCCACGGTGCTTATCGAAACTGTTGCGCATGTGTCATGTTGCCGCGAATGTTTTAAGGGTTCCCGAAGGATAGAGTGAAAACGTTGACAGTTTGAAGTTGTGAGTGGTGAGAACCAACATGAAACGCATGAAATGATAAAACTGGGCACCTCATCGATGTCGTCGACCGGTGGAGGTAATTCTTCACAATGACAAATATTTAGAAAACATTTATGCTCCTTCGTCTCGCCGAAAATCTCCTTCATGTTTACCTGAACATAAATTACAATATTTTTAATGATGCTGAGATATTTGCAAAACTCCGGATCACAGGTGTTTGCGGTGGGGAACGAACGCGCTATTATCCTTTCCGGGGCTAGCGCGTTCAGCGCCATACTATGCTTGTCCTCCGTTTCGCCTTTCTCTCGGCTAGTTTTCTATTTAACATGTTATTTAGTGACTTATAGCCTCCAGCCGCGACAAAAAAAGACCTCTACAACCTCTGCAATTAGCTCTTCCCTCTCAACCTGAACTAATGAAGTTTAGATATGATAAGTGAGGTAGGCAATGTGGTTAATAGCAAAAGTTTTTGAAAAAATCCTCAAACTTGTGTAGGATCGTTGTCATTCTCCTAAGCGAGACCGACCACGGAGGTATTCCAAGTTAGTCTTTTGTGCGATTTCTAGATTTTTAATAAAGAAAGCACATATCAACCAATCAATGGACAAATCGTGTCGAAGATTTCCCCATATATCCACTAGAAAAACTGAATAGAAAAAAAATCACCAGTATTTCGCCAAATGGGAAGGATTTCTGACGAAACAATTTATCATACTCTTCTTCCACATCTGAAAGTCCTAGCCAGGCATAACAAAGTGATACAATCGCAAAAAAATGCGCAACGTATGAATCAAAAGCTCACCAGCACAGAAGCTCCATTGTGCTTGTACGAAATGCTGCACCACGCTTTCCACAAGTAAACTTGCAGAAGTGGAAGCGGTTGGGCTACGAAACCCTGCCTCAATCCGCACAAGAATAGAACCTCCCGGTAAACAACTCCAAGCTTTACTAATAATGTTGACAACTAGTTGAAAAAACCTTCGAGAACCAAACCATTTCCAAGATGCCATTGCAGAATTTGCGTAAAGTGGTTCCTCGATTGATAAAGCTGTTTGAACTAAATTATAGTATTTCAGATCTACCACCAAAATCTACCATTGTTTTCCTCTAACTTTTGAACACACTTTACGTTTATCTAGACTCCAAGCGATCATGTAAACCGAAAAAAGCAGCTCAGCAGCCACAACCGACATCGAAGACCTTCCGTGAAGAATAAATATAAGATATACGGGCACGCTTATGTCATGACACTACGAGCTGCATGGTAAATATACGAAACAATGCTTCCCAACAGTTTACTGCTTCACGGTGGCTGGGAGGTGTTTCTAGGTGTCGGACTACGATTTACAGCGTAGGCTCATCCCTCCAGCAGGATCTACCAAGATGAGGAGTCCGACATTTATATCCGGAAACCCAACTAAGAGTAAAACAATACTAGGAATTTCCTAAACCTAAAAACCACTTTCCTGGTAGCAAGCTAGTCACATGGTGGCAACTCTCCCTCTTATCTACAAGGGCCGGAACTGACTGTGGAGGTGGATGACGACCTGGGGCAAACTTCGGCTAAGCTGACTTCGGAACCCCAAGAAACCACAGTTGCTAAACTAGTAAAACTCAGAAACAATGGAAATTTTGCTGGCGCCCGCAGAACAAGTGAAGACGGGCGATCCAAACAACTAAGTAAGTAAGTATATAACAATGTGACACCTGCAAACGTTATCATGCACGAAACTGATCGCATCTATGAATGGCACTGTCGGGAGACGAAACGAATGGAAATCGCTCTTCGGGACGAATGGATCGGCAGCGCACGTCACTGAGATATCCCAGCAACATATTTCGACGTTTTAAGTGCAGTATAATGCTTCAATCTTACCAACATTATCACTAATAATATGACAAAACAAGGTGTTTATTCCAAAAGTTATGGTGCTCTTGACCCATCCCCACCATCTGAAAAAATATACCTCACGACAATCTTTGTTCTGACCTTTCATCAGTAGATATTCTAACACTATGCAGTTCCCAGTACAGTCACACTAAAAGTCAAAAGTTCTGTTTTTAGAGGAGCGTGTGCTTACGGATATGAATATGAATAATGAATATGAAAATAACCTCGAGATAAACAGTTCCCAACTACAAAAAAAGTTTTTAAAACACATTGTTTATGGCTAAGACACACATGTGATGTAGCTGAAATAAACCTGCTTCTAAAGTAAACAGTCACAAATGTAACCCATATGAATGAAGACCAGTCATTACTTGGATATCTGGATGAACCGTCTTCACTGGTTGTGTGGACCTCGGCATAATCTCCATTTTTGGAGTTTTGCTGGTTTAGGCACCGTGGTTCTCTGAAGTCCTGAGGTCAACCAGGCCAACGTCTGCCACAGGTCGGCACCACCACACGCACTCATCGCCCTTGCGGATCAGAGGAAGAGAAGAGTCGTTGAAACTACTTTTTCACAAAACCTAATACTCGACGGCAGGCAGATTCACGCTCTACATGATTTTCAAATATGCTGTAGTTCGAAGAATTAATAACTCTGTGAACAACTCGACTTTCCCAAGAAAGCACAGTCATATCTGTTTAATAGATTACCTCCGTGAACTTTAGCACATAACCAGGTGTTGGAGTGACGGTCCATGTGTCCTGCACTGTTTCTACATTCAAATTCATATCTAAAGATTTCATTCTCATTGAGCAACCGATCATACTTCTATAGAAGGAACACATTAGCTTATATATCCAGGCACATTATTCCCTGCCAATTACAGGAAAACTTTACCGTACATGTATTCTATCAGTAAGCCAAATAAAAATTTTACAGCGGCTCGTTTAACAGAAATATGCACAACAGTAACAATTAAATACATCGATTAATAATAATCACAGTGAAAGAAACCTTGGGCCGCTAACCTAGTTATCAAAGAAAAAATTACTAGCAAGTAGAAAACCATGTGATAAGAAAAACGGATAACTCACCACTATGTTATGATAGCTGACTACTTCGAGACAATAAACTAGAAAGTATTACCAACTAGATCGTTTTTCCTAGAAGAAAAATGCATCCGATCATAGAAATTATGATCGCTATGAAGAATCAACCAATCCACACACCGAATAAGAAAGATGTTTAAAAGATTGCGAGTAAGGCAAAGACAGAATAGAGCAGAACACAAGGATATGCGACGAGAAGGCGCTGATGCTGCATGGAGAGCGCGATGACGAACAGCTTTGACGACGACGAGCTGCACCACACGACGGCCAGCGCCGACAACGAGTACCCGAACACTCCCTGAACGCAGTGCAGTTAGGTGGCGAATATAATAGAAAAAGTATTAGTTTTACATGGCTACGACAATGCAGCTCAAAGAGACAAGGAAAATGCCAGTAGGCTTGTGCAATAAAGATCACTATTGTAAAGTCATGTAACATCCAAAGAATGGGGCCATGTAGCGCAGTGGTTGAAGGCGTCCTGCAATACACATGGGATCAATCCTCGCGCCCCAGGCTCACCAAGCTTTCCATCCCTCTGGTGTAGGCAATTTGGTAGCAGACATGTTTGAGAGGATAGTATAACTGACCCTATATATCGGTAGGCCACCGCGGGTCATTGTAAAGGCCAGATATGCATCCAATTACCTCCAACGGTTTTTACTGATAGCGTCAGACAAGCTACCTTCTAAATGTAAAGAGTACAACGAAAAAACGTTTCTACGGCAAAACAAACGGCCACAAAGGAAACGACTTCACGCTGAATTCTAATGCGTCAATTGCCTCTCATATATAGGTGGAAATACGCTCATGCTGGACTCTGCTTGTTGTGACCTCTGAGCAGTGGCTTTCCTTATATTATACATTTAAAGTTGCATACTTGAAAAAAAACTATTAGTTTTACATGGCTACGACAACGTAGCCAAAGGATGTTTTGGTAAGGCACAATAAGAAATTTCCTGATATTAATAGCAACAAACCTTGGACGACAGAACAGCAGTGACAAGACTGAGAAGCGACATTGGAAGTAAACAGTACCCTAACACAGAAGCAGTGCAAACGAATGAAATAGTTTTATCCGCTGAAACAAAAATATGGGAAAGTGTATGTTAATTTTAAAAATCACCTAATCTAAACAACCACAGGATAACTATGCCTCATCATCAATAAATTTGAGTATCTTCTCGGAAAGACTGTGAAGCCTAGCAAAAATGGATTTGTCCTACTGCATCATTTTCAACTAAAAGGTTGATTAGTAGCATAAACTGCTACAACAAATTTTACTGTAGTCTTTGAAGAATCCAAGCCTCGAAAGAAAAGTGGATGAAACGCAAAAAGCTGAAAATGGTCAACTCACCGGCCATAAGATTCATTAGTGCGTACATACCCAAACATCCAAGAGCGCCAATACCATAGATATAACCAAACGTCATCTTGCCGTGAAGGAGAAGGGCGAAACCTATAAACAATGAATAATGGTACTATAATGTGTATAAAGTAACCTCACTTATTGTCATGGACAAATCCAAAAGTAAATGATTCTAGTTAGGACACCCAGCATTGTGAGAAACCAAAATGATCAGTGCGACAAACATCTGAAGAAAAAAGTCGCTCAAAATGTCGTCCTGATTTTGGGACAAAGCATCACCAACATTCTGGTGGATTTTCTTTACGTATTTCTTCGCAGGAAGTTAAAAACATGAAAACAGATGTGCCATAAACTACGAACTATGGACCACTACTAGATTAATAGAGTAGATTACACAAAATAATGGTACGCACTTTGTTCAGTTACTATCTCTAAAGACATCCGGCGACAAGGAGACCTACTTCTGGAAACTCTCCGACTAGTAAGAAAACACGAGCATGAAGTGAGGCTCAATATTCTGCAACAAAGAAAACTGAGTTCAAGATGCCTTAGAAATGGTGTGATGGTGTTATCCAAGAACAAGCTTAGAAGCTGGACTTTGGGGACTTTGAAACAAGACTATGAAAGACTTAAGAAATGGCTAGAGTACAAAAACGCTTTGTTTGACAGACTGATTTAGCCTACAGTTAGAGATCAACATGCAGTAATGCTATGGATATGGAATTGGATAAGGTGTTTCCCATTAGATGTCAATTTAATGTTTCCGAAGCGCCAGCACTCCGGAACAGTTCTGTCTACCTTCATTTCACATGAGAATTCAATCCTACTACAGATTTTCAAAGCATTTTTGTCACCATGTAGCTCCCAACGATGATCAAACCCTGAGGAATACGCCATGATTCGACTTCATTACGCGTCGTTGGAGGTGATTGAATGCAATATCAGGCCATTATAATGACTCACAGTGGCGTATCGATGTATCGAGCTAATGTTACTATCAACCCAGACAAATCTGGAACCAATTTGTGGACTCTGGAGGGATGAAAGGCTTGCTGAGCCACGGGTGCGGGGATAGATCTTACGCGTGTGTCGCAGTGCGCGTTCGACCAATGAGCCACATGCGCCTCTTACATATACATATACATATGCATGTATACATATATATATATATATATACAAACTTATAATACGGAAACTCAGATGATTTTATCGAAGTATATCCAACTTTAGTTCCATCAGTTTGTTCTAAAGTAAGAAATCCCACTTGTTTTAATAAGTGATCTGCTCAATATGTTCGAAACCGAATAAAAATTAGAAGCCGAAACCACATAAAAAACGGTTAAACTCGAACAGCTGTCAATCTATGGCTGACCACAAAACATAAGAATAGTATGCATAACGGAATTTTCAAGATAAAAACATCGTCAAAAGAGGGTTCTCCTCAGATTGACAACTTACAACCAAACTTTAACACATATCGAATAACATGTATTGGATAGAATGTATATGATGTGAAAACGAACGCCGCTTCCAGCATTAAACTCACATATTTCAGGTCATATTGGATTTTATTATTTGAAACAGAAACCATTAGAATGCACAGATCCCTATCAACAAGATATAAATGACCTGGCTCTATCAAGACTAAATTGTCATTGAGTAGACGCCAAGACATTTAACTCTTCCATATTTTTGCACCAAGGCTAAAATTGAGAGCAAATTAACCGGAATTTCGCACCTACGAAACTTGATTACATCCCAAAATGAAGTTTATGTTCACAGCTGCTGCTCTACTTCTGCAAATTTAAATCTCTATTTTCAAGTCTTAATTCTAGGCATGATTGGAACCGAAAGGATAATGCAGAGGAATTTTTCTTTTACATGACCTGTGTTCACTCTAGTGTGTGGCTTCTAGCAATTCTTGCATTCGATCGCTTACACGCACCCACCATCCGAGAAGGTCGAGGCTGTGGGTTCAACTGCTGCTCGAGAATTTTCGTCTTTACGAAATTCCACTAAACTCACAAAAATTAAAATTCTTAAGTTGCAGTCGAAACAAACAAAATCGACTGAAAGAAGTACTGGGATCCACACCATGAATTCGGATCATGTAAAACAAAGAAAAAAGTATCAAATTAAGGATTCTCCGGAAGATTCACCAAAAGGACACCCCTCTTACTACGCACATAATAGGAGGAAAAGCAAGTCAAATTTCGTTTCGTCTGTACAGAACGGATACGAAAACAAAGCAGGTACGGGACAAAAAGTAGCTTCTAATCTATGACTACTCTTGTCATTACGCTCATTGAAGCAATGACTAAAACTAGTGATGATACCAATAATAAGTAATGATACTAAATGGTAGAAAACTAGCTGAGAGAAAAGCGAAATGAAGGACACGCATGGTGTGATGGTGAACACGTTAGCTCCTAGAATGGGTAATAGCGTGTTCGATCCGCACCGCAGACAGTTGCGGTCCGGAGTTTTGCAAATATCTTGGCAACATTGTGGCTGTGTCTCACATAATATCCTGCAGTGAAAAATTGTAATAGGAAGTAAATGAAAAGTTACCAAACTAAAACTAGTGTTCACCACTGTATCGAAACAATGCGTCTCTATCAGGAAGAATGGTGGATAGGATGTGTGAGGATCGCGTAGATCGGCCAAGTTTAGTCCATAAGTGGGAATATAACACACATTTGGAGATGAAGAAGGCAGCTTGAACACTTATGACTTGCATGACGAAACCTCTATGGTCTTGTGGTAGCAACACGTTCGATAGCCTCAGAATAAGAAATAAAAAAGTTTTTAAAGCCTTTACAACGCGATTTTCCGCATAAATGTAATGAAAGAATAAAAATCGAAAGCCAGCACTATTGGAAACTGCAACATGAATGTAACCTTTTATCGGTTTTCATAGGAAATGGGTTTAATTATAAAAGGATTCCCATGTTCCTAAGGCGCACTTTAACAGCTTAAGCATTCAAAAACGGCATTTGTTATACGTACATCGATATGAGGAAAGAGCACCGAAACTCACAAACTCACCAAAAAGCAGGCAGAAAACCAAAGGTCCTGCCAAGTCTTGATCCGCTATAACTTCAGCTGATGCGGTTCCGGTCGGATTCAAAACAGCAAAAGTTTTTTCCTTTATATGAGAGAAGTTGATGCCAAGCTCTTCCAGCAAAGGTGGTTCACTTTCATAGTCTTCAACACCGCCAGTTGCGATTCCTGAGAACGAAATGAGGTTGGCTGAGAAAAGAAGAATTATTGAAGCGATACGAGGATCTGAAGAAAAATGCCGATTAATTAGAGTTTCAGAATGACCCAGATCAGTCAAACCCTTAATTCTAAAGAGATGAGGTTCAACAGAACTCGAAAATGAAAAAATGAACGAATTCAGAATCTCCACATGACGGAAGAGAGCACATCCATGGAACTTAGTGGAGCAAAACGTATAGCTTGACAATATATGCCACGTCGAGAAGAGTGCTATGATGTATAATGCTGAGATATTTCCAAAACTCGGGACTGCAGGTGTCTGCGGTGGAGAACGAACGCGCTATTGTCCTTCCCGGGGAGGAACGCGTTCACCACCACACCATGTGGGTCCTTCGTTTCGCCTGTTGACGGGTGATTGCTGATGGCAAAAGATCGATAGAACTAGCTGAGAGACAGGCGAAACGAAAGACCCGCATGGTGTGGTGGTGAGCGCGTTACTCCCCGGAAAGGACAATAGCGCGTTCGTTCCCCACCGCAGACACCTGCAGTCCCGAGTTTTGCAAATATCTCAGCATTATGGAAGTTATATTTCGCGACATACCGTGCCGTTAAAAAGAATAGGCAGTAAATAAAAAGGTTAAGATAGTGCTATGTTGGTCGAAGCGAACATTAGAGGACTACATGAACATCGAAGAAAGAAATAAGAAAAACAAGCAAATTCCTCACCACCATTCGCTGAAGGTGGCATAAACATTTGACCGCCGTAGTAGCTCTGAGACTGAGTATAAGGACTCTGTTGCTGGTAGTAGTTCTGACCTATCAAATAAAAAGACATCCAGATATTCGCAGATTCAGAAGAAAGGCACTTACTACTAGCGTATTGCTGGCTAAGATCCTGCTGCTGGGAGTAGTCGAACTGCCCCCAACTCATGTTTGCGTGAGCGGCTCCCCTTCCATACCACGTATCTTCCTGGCCGTCGTCCATCCATACGTTAGCCATTGTTTACCCCTGAATACAAGACCAATACGAGAAAGAGTACATTTTTGCAATATAAAGGACAAAACAGCGTTATCATTTTATTTAAAAAAAAACTGCAAAAACGTAACAGAGAGGACAATATTTCAGAAGCAATTTCCCTTTAATCTCGACATAGCTAATCAGTATGTATTCTTCCTTTCGTAATCTTACACGAGGTTGATAAATGATCTTTATTTTCGGCTAACGTTTCGGTGTCTTTTTCTTCATCAGTGGGCTACCCACTTGGACCAAGCATAAGCATAGAAAGCAGTTGAAAGATCCAGTGTAACGAGAACTGAACACTACAAAAGCAAGATGAACACACGTTAGTAGTGCGAGAACTATTGAGTAAATGAAAAACGAAAAAAGCTTTGCAAAAACAACCACCTAAGCAGATATCAGTCATTCCGTAAACGTGTTTCCTTGCACCGATCTCTCTAAGGTTTCCAGCAAACGAAATAATACAGTTCAATATTAATAAGAGGAGGAAGAGAGGAAATAAGAGGAAGAAGAACAAGAAAAAACAGTAGGAGGCATGCGACACTGTCGTCATTCCCTTAAATGATTTTCCAAATTCCATGCCTAAAAGCTAGTCAGAAAGGATCTGCTTCCAAGCAATCACGTCTAACAGAATCCTGCCTTTCCAACAACGTAGCAGAAGTGTTCGAGTCGTAATTACGGACAGATCACGCTGCATTTCACGGTCGCCTTTTCTCTTCTCACTTCTGCCCCACAGATCCTTCTCGTTTGCGTGAAGGATGGTTCTTCGGAGAATGGAACGGTTGGGTCCCTAGTAATATCGTTCGTGTCAATCCTGATTATGGATTCGGACAGAATCCAAAAGAATTCCAATAAAAGGAGAAAGTTCTCGGCGTTGATCAATCTCTAAGGGATGCGCCATGCGTTCGGCTTTACTAAGCATCGTTGGAGCTGGTTGAATGCATGTCTCGCCTTTACAATGACTCGAAGTGGCGTACCGATGAGTCGGGCCAGTGCTGCTGTCCTCCCAAACAATTCTGTTACCAATTTGCCGACCCCAAAGAAATGAAGGGCTTGGTGGGCCTGGATGGCGGGAATCGATCCCATGTGTGTTGCAGGGCGCCTCCAACCACTGCGCTATGCGAAGTCCTTAAAGAATTTCAGTACGCCCTCACAGTGTTTCGTCATAGTTTGACGACACGTTGTAGTAATGTATGAAATAATTTTTTTAGTGCAGTAGTGGTTATCTTCGCGTAGCGGGCAACACTCATTGTTCATTTGGTCGAGAATAGTTGAATCGCACAAGTTCAGGCGAGAATACCGAAGCTCATTGGTAACTTTATCAATTCACGTGGAAACTGTTACGATTTTCAGATTTTTGCTGACGAGGTGCAAGTCTTCCTATTTTACGATAAACGAATTCCATTCCTCTGAAGCACACAGTACGTATTTCCTTCCACTTTTCCTTACCAAGTTTCATATTTCGAAAAGCGAGGTAATTAAATAGCTAGAATTTCGAGGAGCAAGCTCAAGAAGCCTCCCAACGGTTTATCGCCTCATCGTGGCTGGGAGGTGTTCCTGGGTGTCGGGCTGCGATGTACAGCGGGCGGATTCATCCCCCTGGCAGTGTCCTAAGCTGAGAACGAGTCCGACCTTTCAATCAAGAAGCTTAGCTAGTAGTGAACCAATACCAGAATCCACCACCGTCCTGGTATCAAGGTCGCATTGTGACAAATCTGCTTCTGATCCACAAGAGCTGCGACCGCCTGTGGTGGTGAAGAATCTAGAGCGACATGACAAAGCTTCTATTACGAGGCTATCGAACTCCTCCGTTCCTCAGCTGCTCTAGTTATCGGAAGGCTATCGTTCTTCATTTCTTTTTTTCTTCGTATTTTTGTTGAGCAAACGCGAGGTGTTATTATTCTTTGTTCACGATTAAGCTGACGTTTCGGCGGATTTCGCCTTCCTCAGAGCCTGGAAAGGTCAAGTTGATAGCAAACTACTCGGCCAGACGCCTCCATAACCAAACAAAGAAACTCCAAACCAAGATTTCAATTACTTTGAACACAGCTTTGCACACTCACCGCTTTCTATGAGGTTTCCACTGAGTATGTCACGTAGAGACCAACCGCACAGAAATCACGTGGAAGTATAATGTGCCCCTCACATCAGAAAAGCAGTTTTATATACTGCCCTATATCACGCGTGATAATGAGGCATTCTTCCCTGCGGTTCATTTTCGGATTTCTGGAATTAATCCAGAGTGCCTCGAGAGTTTTTCGCGCCTGTGTTCTTGATTCGCGTGCGACGATCGTGACACATACTTCGAAGTCGTCCCCGTTATGTCTCTGGGTCCTATGCGTGCCTAGCGGGGTATTTGGTCTATCTTTGCCGGCTAGGTGTTCTTTCATGCGGACACAGAAG